GGTAGTGTATAGTATATGGTAGTGTAGTAGTGTATGGTAGTGTATAGTGTAATGTATAGTAGTGCATAGTGTATGGTAGTGTATAGTGTATGGTAGTGCATGGTAGTGTAGTAGTGTATGGTAGTGTATGGTAGTGTAGTAGTGTATAGTGTAGTGTATAGTAGTGTATAGTGTAGTGTATAGTTTATGGCAGTGCATAGTGTATGGTAGTGTATAGTGTAGTGTATAGTAGTGTATAGTGTAGTGTATAGTGTAGTGTATAGTAGAGTATAGTGTATAGTGTAGTGTATAGTAGTGTATAGTGTAGTGTATAGTGTAGTGTATAGTAGAGTATAGTGTAGTGTATAGTGTAGTGTATAGTAGTGTATAGTGTAGTGTATAGTGTAGTGTATAGTAGAGTATAGTGTAGTGTATAGTAGTGTATAGTGTAGTGTATAGTAGTTTATAGTGTAGTGTATAGTGTAGTGTATAGTAGAGTATAGTGTAGTGTATAGTATAGTGTATAGTAGTGTATAGTAGTGTATAGTGTAGTGTATAGTGTAGAGCATAGTATACTTTCAGAACCGAGCGGGAGAAAACAAAAAAAAAAACACCGTCCGACGAAACCGACTCCAAAATAATTTGTTTTATAAAGAAAAAGGCCGCGCAAAAACAAAATGGAACGGACTCACAAATGTGTGGGACGCGCGGTGGGTCACAGCGCCGTCGCGTGCGTGGGTGCAACATCGACTGCGCCACGGCAAACCACGGCCAATCAATTGAAGCCGGGGGGTGGGGTCAGGGTTTTAAAGTTAAACGACGGCAGCTAAATAATGACATCATAGTATTCTTCGTTCTTTCGGTAAAGTCACCACGTAGATAGGGAAACAATGAGATACTAAAAATACAAAACGATAACATTCTCACGGCGTTCCGACTGCAACACAGGAAGCAATCGTCATCGGGTGTGAAAACCACAGCAAGAAAATCTGAAAAAAACTGGCCGGTTATTTTTTTTTTTAACATTCGCAACCACGGAGAGCGATTTGACAGTTTGTTCAGATGGACGAGTCCATCTATGTTCCGTATAGAGGAGGGGGGGAGACGAAAAAAAATGGATGCGGTCTGAAAGCCACCGTAAGCGTGAACAATGAATTAAGACCCGAAAATTGTTATCAAATCCTTCCAATGATTGCTAAGCCAGAATCCATCTTCTCGGTTGAAATTGTCTCTGTGTTTTTGTGCGTGGATAGCCTCGTGAACGAATCTCTCATGGTAGCCAGATGGCTTGCAAAGAACCTCTGTCTTGCAGAAGTCAATGTCATGTGAGCCTACTGAATTATAACAGTGACCTGCCACGGCCGAGGTGTTGGTCCTACCCTGCAGTCACGAAAGCTTTAAATAAAAATTGGACATCCTAGTAGTAATAGGGTTTTTACCCTTTTACCTGGCGACAAAACGGACACCTTTACACAAAGGATTATGTCTCGCATTCACCACAACACCTGCGGTCAAAAATGCAAACAAAAAAGACAACCCTGATAATGTATTGGCACCGTCCTTGAAATTGATTGGTCCACACCCGAGACGGCTTTTCTTAGAGCCCGGTCTCACACGGTGTTGGACCAGATGACGCTGAAAGGCGCACAACTCAAAGATAACGCCACCATCAGAGTATTGAGAGCTCGGGGTAAGAGAGGGGGACAGACAGAGGCAGACAGAGAGGCAGAGACAGAGAGACAGAGGCGAAGAGACAGAGGCAGAGAGAGACAGAGAGGCGGAGAGAGACAGAGAGACAGACAGACAGAGGCAGAGAGACAGATAGAGAGAGACAGAGAGAGAGGTGGAGAGAAACAGAGAGAGAGACAGAGAAACTGACAGAGAGACAGAGACAGATAGAGAGACAGAGAGAGGCGGAGAGAGACAGAGAGAGAGACAGAGAGAGAGACAGAGAGAGAGACAGAGAGAGAGACAGAGAGAGACAGACAGAGAGAGACAGAGAGAGAGAGACAGAGACAAAGAGAGAGATAGAGAGAGACAGAGAGAGACAGAAAGAGAGAGACAGAGAGACGGACAGAGAGAGACACAGAGACAGAGAGAGACAGAGAGAGTTCAGTGTCGCCCACCTCTCCCCTCCACCGGCCCCCCTAGCCCGAGACCATTCCACGAGCGGTCACAAAAATTTTTTTTGACGACTCAATGCGGGGATCCCTTCCCCGTCCGCCGTCCCGCGCCGAGGCGTTTCGTGTGTCGCCAACTCGTTTCTCGCCCAGCCCAGTCGTCGTTTTGTACAACAGCTGACGAGAGAGGCAAAATTGTGTGTGTGTGTGGGGGTTGTAAAAACAAACGAAAACAAACAAAACCACCAGATCTTCACTTAAACCTTTCGTCACTGCAGGAATCCGTATTCTTTGGGTCTTTCTGTAAAGTCACGTGGACAGAATAATAAATTAATAACACAATAAGCTCTGTCGTCCCGGCAGGTCTGTTCCTTTCACCTGAAGAAGGCCACTCGTGCTGTGGCCGAAACGTCTTGAGAATTTTATCGTGTTATTTTATCCATTTATTATTTCATTCTCATTCCTACGTGGTGGTGACTTTACCGAAAGAACCAAAGAAGATGAATCCTTGCAGTCACGAAAGCTTTAAATCGAAATTTTCACGTGGATAGGTTCACGGTAAAATAACACAAATACGACAAAAAATAAACGTGGCGCGCTCGCCATGGAGGAGGCTCGGCGATCTCACGTTAACATGATACATCATGGGACCTCCTTCGCCAGTACCAAAGTCTCATGGGAATAGGTTGTCCCCCTTCTGGCGTCCTCTGGTCTAACGCCGTTTTGAGACTGGGCTCTAAAGAAAGCTGTCTCTGGTGTGGACCAATCAGTCTCAAGGACAATGCCACAGATATTGTCAGAGTTGTGGTTTTTTTTTTGTGTGTTTGCGTTCTGGCCACGAGTTACTGCGGTCAGAATGCAGACGCGATTTTTTGTTGTTGTTGCGCAGAGGAGTAAAATGGGGGCGTGGCGTCACGCGTGCCGTCCAGCGCGATGACGTCACGCGCTTGGGCGGCTCGGTGACGTCACGCCGCCCTGAGTATTTAAGGAGGACGCCGTGACGAAAAGCGGGGTCACTGCGGGGCAACGCGTGGAAAGAGGGAGCCACGGGTAGCGAGAGGGATCGAGTGGAGAGTCTGGAGAGAAACCGGTGGTAGCCGATTGAGGTGCTTCTCTCTCTCTCCGGTCGGTGGAGTTGGCAGGGTCCCCGATCCGACGCGAGAGAGACCGGAGCTAGCCGGGCTGGGACCAGGACTCCTCAGTGTAGGACCCCTAACCCCTGGGAGTCGTTACACCCTTGTGTTATTTGAATAACTGCAGTGAGGGGGAAAAAAACGTATTTGATCCCCTGCTGATTTTGTACGTTTGCCCACTGACGAAGACATGATCAGTCTTTAATTTTAATGGTAGGTTTATTTGAATGGTGAGAGACAGGATAACAACGAAAAAAATCCAGAAAAACGCATGTCAAAAATGTTATAAATTGATTTGCATTTTAATGAGGGAATTAAGTATTTGACCCCCTCTGCAAAACATGACTTGGTACTTGGTGGCAAAACCCTTGTTGGCAATCACAGAGGTCAGACGTTTCTTGTAGTTGGCCACCAGGTTTGCACACATCTCAGGAGGGATTTTGTCCCACTCCTCTTTGCAGATCTTCTCCAAGTCATTAATGTTTCGAAGCTGACGTTTGGCAACTCGAACCTTCAGCTCCCTCCACAGATTTTCTATGATTGAGAGGGGGTCAAATACTTATTTCCCTCATTAAAATGCAAATCAATTTATAACATTTTTGACATGCGTTTTTCTGGATTTTTTTGTTGTTATTCTGTCTCTCACAGTTCAAATAAACCTACCATTAAAATTATAGACTGGTAATTTCTTTGTCAGTGGGCAAACGTACAAAATCAGCAGGGGATCAAATACTTTTTTCCCTCACTGTATAATAAACTTACGGCGAAAGCCCTTAACCTCCAAGCCGTCTCCCGAGTCGTCGTCGGGAACTCCTCAACACTTGTAAAAGGTTTCAATTTGGCGTTTCAGCATCTTAACACGACTGTTTTCTTGCCAGAAAAAAGTGGGAAAACCCTATTCTCATTAACATGCTAATTTATTTAATTTTTACCTGGTAGCCCTTTTGATTGGTGGAAAACCCACCACCGACGCAGCCGCTGCCCCACCACTCACATTAACATTGGCTGCCCCGCCCATGCTGCCGACATTTGGGTTCCGCCCATTTCAAACCTTTAGAAACAGTTTGCCTTTGGAAGCTAACCCCCCTTTTCCTGGTGACGACCGCTTGCGTTGTGATCGAAACGTCGTGTTTTTTGTTTGTTATTTTTACGTTTTCTTTGACCCTATCTACGTGACTTTACCGAAAGACCACAGGAATATGAAAACCACCAGAACTAAGAGCACAACGTCGCGACCGCCCACCACCCCCCCCCCCCCCTTCACGCGTAAACACATCGCGTACGGCGAGGATGACGAGCGGAGTTGGCGTGACGATGACGACGATGGCTCCTCGCTGACGAGGTATCGTGGGGTTCACTCGCGGAACGAGCGCCCAGGGTAGGGCTGAACGATGAATCGACTTCGAATCTAAATCGCAATTTGAAACAATGCGATTAGAAAATCGCGAAAGGCTGCGATTTTTTGCGATTTCTGAAGTCCTGTTGCTTTCTTGTTGGAACTTTTATTTTTTTATTATTATAACTTTATTTAACTTAACAATTGTTGTATGTTTGATTGTTCTATTTCATTTAAAACATTTTAATAAATACATGTTGGAAGCAATTAATATATTTTATCCTTGCATTAGTATAGAGCAGTTCATATTTTGAAGGTATCACGTGGTAATGCCCCATCACATGTTTTAAATCTATTACACACTGAAGCTTGACTTAAAAAATAACTAATCGCAAATTAAATCGCAATATCTGTCAGAAAAATCGCAATTGGATATTTTCCCCAAATCGTTCAGCCCTAGCCCCGGGTCGCCAGGTTCGTAGCGCAGCGTAGCGCTAACCGTTACCACTACCGCTCCCCATTGTCGTACAGCGCGCACGCACGCACGCAAGCTATCGGCTCTCCGCGGGGTCGAGGTCACGCGCTGTTCGCGATGCGTGAAGACGCGCGTACGTGGCCGCTCGGTTCGTCCCGTATCGACATCACACACCCCTGGCCCTGCTTGGCCCCACCCACCCAACCGGAGTCACAGTCCAGACGTTATCTTCTTGCGAGGCTGGCGTTTTCCCCGTTCTGTTCCGACATGGCAAGACAAAACCCCGTGCCGTGCTGGCACGGCTCGGATGTGCAAGCGTGAAAAAAAAGAGTTGTGCACGCGTGCACGAACGCAATGACCACATGGGTCCGTAACACACGGTGAGCCACTTCCTTGCGCTATCGCGACAGCCGGCCAGGTCGCTTCTGACAATTAAGTTGAGGGGCTCGGTGGGCTTTGCCTGGTTTAAGGACGGTGACGATTTATGTTTTCGTGTTTTTTTTTATTTGGGGCAAATTTGTTTACCTTACTTGTACTCTGCAACCACCGTCGTGTTGTTGTTGTTGTTGTTGATTTGTAACCGTCTCGTTGTTGTAAACTTCTTATCCCCGTGCCGCCTTCTACTGGACATCTGTGAGCAAAAAAGAGCTTCACGGCGCATCGGATTCCTCCTCCAGTAGAAAGAAATATTCCGACTCTGACCTGGGCGTGGGGCGCGGGGCGCGTATATGAATAGCAAGGCAATGCGCGGCTGCGGGGACATGGCAGCACAGCAAGCTGGTGGGGGGTTATCAAGTCGACAGACAGATACAATGGATTTACTCGCCAACACACCGGTGGGCTCAAGTCGTATACTACACTAGACACTACGCTATACACTACACTACGCTATATACTACGCTGTACACTACGCTATACACTACGCTAAAGTAGTAACTAACTGGCGTTTTGTTTACGTGAGAAATCTCGTCAGTCTATCTGTCTGGCGGAACGATTGACCCTTTCAGTAGCCGCCCGCCGTCAGCTATGTAGTCCCCCCTGTGTTGATCGAGGCAAACGGCAAGCGCACGGTGGGACTGCTGCTGCTGCTGCTGCTGCAACCTCGTAGCGAAATCTGGACGTAGGATAAATATTGCACGTGGGGGGGGGGGGGAGGGGGGACGTAACAAACCATAAATTCTATCGAAATAATGAACTGACCACCCACCCCCCCCCCACCCCGCAGGATTTTTTTCGTTTACAGAATTAATCTTTCCCCAAAGAGAAATAACTAAACCAAAATACAAAAAAAGTGCCTGGCTGCAGAGTAAACCGTACGGCTGAACGAATGAACATAATAAAAAACAACAACAAAATAACCGCATTGGCCCGCGGAAGGATGAACGGGCGCGTGTGCACGCTCGCCCGATGACCGTCTTCCGCACCGTACGTACGCCAACGGCCGCCGCCGCTGCTGCTGTGGAGTGGCAGCGTCGCAACAAACACGCGCACAGACCGACGTCGCCGTTCCAACGACGTCGCGAAACGCCCGACGCGTTTCCGCGTCGGACACCGCGACAGGAGCGCGTGCCGGTTGTCCCCCCCCGCGCCCTCGCAAGGGAGGAAGCGTCCAGAACGGTGGCCCGTGCTCGTGTTCCATCGCCCGCGACGACCACGGCCGACCGTCACCCCCGAGCAGGCAACGTTCGAGGCCGAGCCCACCGAAAGCGGTTCAGAAAACGTCGCCACTGATGCGCGAGCGCGGGGCCAGAATCTCCGGACAGTCCCGCCACGGCACGCTCCGCCCCCTCCTCCTCCTCCTCCCTCTCCCTCCGATGGAACCTCCCCCGACCGAAGCCCGGGACCACCACCTTCACCGAAGACGATGGAGGGAGGGCGGCGGCGGCGGCGGCGGCGGGGGGGGGAGGGATAGCCTCGAGATTCGGCGGCGAGGCTTTCTGACATCGACCGTCACTCAAAACGGCGACGCAGCTGCGAAGCGCGGGCGCGGGCGCGCGTCCGTGCGGTGGGACTTGTCGCGTCGGTACGTCCAGCCCCCCCCCCCCCCCCAACGAGTCTTACCCGACGTGGACGCGGCCGCGCGTTTCAATTCCTCGCGCAGAGGATCCCGCGGTAGTTTCTTCACCCCCCCCCCCCCCACGCCTCCTCTGCTCTCTCACTCTCTCACTCTCTCGGTTCAGCGTCGCGTGCAGCCGCCCCCGCGCGCTCCTCCGGGAGACTGTGCGTGTGGGGTGGTGTTGGGGTAGGGTGTGGGGTGGTGTTGGGGTAGGGTGTGGGGTGGTGTTGGGGTAGGGTGTGGGGTGGTGTTGGGGTAGGGTGTGGTGTGGGGTGGGGTGCTGTGGGGTACCGTTGATGCCAAGCAGTCGCGACGAAGTTCTGTACAGAGCAGGCTCAGGAAGAGGGGAGCCCGGTTGGAATGAAGCGGGCGAGGTGAAGGATGCGGATTTTGGAGGGAACATTCTGAACCGCGGGCCAACGCTTTGGCGGTGTGTGACGATGGCGCGGTGTGTGACGATGGCGCGGTGTGTGACGATGACGACGGTGGTTTGATCCAGGGCCCTGACGGGGAGCGGAGCAGCGTGGCTCCCGCTAATGGTCGGCCCTCTCTCGCTTCACGGTGACGAGGTCAGAGCCCCCGTTAGACTCCACCTCCTCCTCTTCCTCCTCCAGCTCTTCCTCCTCCTCCAGCTCCTCCTCCTCGTGCTTCACGGTCGCCCCGCACGGCGACGCCGTTGGCGTCGGCGGCGGCGACGACTTCGGTGACGGCGGTGGCGACGTTCCGTAGAGGCCGGGGCTTCCCTCGGGCTCCTGCTTCATGCGGGGGAACCTCGTCGCAACGCCGCCGTGGTCGCCGTCGCCGTCGTCGCCGTCGCCGCCGCCGCCGCCGCCGTCCAGGAAGTGCGCGTGAACGGCGTTCTCCTCCCGGTGGACGCGCTGGTGCTTGGTGAGCGTCCCCGACTGCGTGAACGCCTTGCCGCACAGCGTGCAGCGGTAGGGCCTCTCGCCCGTGTGGGTGCGGTGGTGCCGGTGCAGGGTGCCCGGCTGGGAGAACGCCATGCCGCACAGCGAGCACTCGTGCGGCTTCTCGCCCGTGTGGATCGTCTGGTGCTTGTGCAGGTTGCCGGTGCGCGTGAACGCCTTGCCGCACACGGCGCACTTGTACGGCTTCTCCTCCATGTGCGTCATGAGGTGGTTGTGGAGGTTGCCCGTCTGGCTGAACGCCTTGCCGCACACGGCGCACTTGAAGGGCCGCTCGCCGGTGTGGATCCGCCGATGGTTGTGCAGGTTGCCCGACTGCGTGAAGGTCTTGCCGCACGCGTCGCACCGGTAGGGCTTCTCGCCCGAGTGCGAGCGCTGGTGCCGGTGGAGGTGGCCCAGGTGGACGAAGGACTTGTCGCACGCGGCGCACTTGAAGGGCTTCTCGCCCGTGTGCTTCCTGCGGTGGACCTCCATGTGGCCCCGGTAGCTGGTGCTGTACTCGCACTGGCCGCAGCGGTGCATGGCGGGCGGCGACGGTGGTGCCGGGGATCCGGCAAGAATGGGGGGAGGGCGGTGGGGGGGGGAGATCGCGTGCACCTGCAGCCAAGTCGTCAAGGCATGCGCGGGCCCGTGTCAACGCAGGCACATGGAGCCGTGTCAACGCGCGCAGATGGAGCCGTGTCAACACACATACGGACCCGTGCCAACACACATATAGACCCGTGTCAACACACATATAGACCGGGGTCAACACACATATAGACCCGTGTCAACACACATACAGACCCGTGTCAACACACATATGGACCCGTGTCAACACACATATAGACCCGTGCCAACACACATACAGACCCGTGTCAACACACATATAGACCGGGGTCAACACACATATGGACCCGTGTCAACACACATATAGACCCGTGCCAACACACATACAGACCCGTGTCAACACACATATAGACCGGGGTCAACACACATATGGACCGGGGTCAACACACATATAGACCCGTGTCAACACACATATGAACCCGTGTCAACGCACACATATGAACCCGTGTCAACACACATATAGACCCGTGTCAACACACATATAGACCCGTGTCAACACACATATAGACCAGTGTCAACACACAGATGGACCCGTGTCAACACACATATGGACCCGTGTCAACACACACATATATACCCGTGCCAACACACATACAGACCCGTGTCAACACACATATAGACCGGGGTCAACACACATATGGACCCGTGTCAACACACATAAAGACCCGTGCCAACACACATACAGACCCGTGTCAACACACATATAGACCGGGGTCAACACACATATGGACCGGGGTCAACACACATATAGACCCGTGTCAACACACATATGAACCCGTGTCAACGCACACATATAGACCCGTGTCAACACACATATAGACCCGTGTCAACACACATATAGACCCGTGTCAACACACACATATGAACCCGTGTCAACACACATATAGACCCGTGTCAACACACACATATAGACCCGTGTCAACGCTCATATAGACCCGTGTCAACACACACACACATATAGACCCGTGTCAACACACATATGGACCCGTGTCAACACACATATGGACCCGTGTCAACACACATATAGACCCGTGTCAAAACGCATATAGACCCGTGTCAACACACATATAGACCCGTGTCAACACACATATAGACCCGTGTCAACACACATATAGACCCGTGTCAACACACATATAGACCCGTGTCAAAACACACATGAACCCGTGTCAACACACACACATGGACCCGTGTCAACACACATATAGACCCGTGTCAACACACATATAGACCCGTACCAACATACATATAGACCCGTGTCAACACACACATATAGACCCGTGTTAACACACATATGGACCCGTGTCAACACACATATAGACCCGTACCAACATACATATAGACCCGTGTCAACACACACATATAGACCCGTGCCAACACACATATAGACCCGTGTCAACACACATATAGACCCGTGTCAACACACATATAGACCCGTGTCAACACACATATAGACACGTGTCAACACACATATAGACCCGTGTCAACGCACATATAGACCCGTGTCAACACACATATGGACCCGTGTCAACACACATATAAGACCCGTGCCAACACACATATGAACCCGTGTCAACACACACACATTAACCCGTGTCAACACAAATATAGACCCGTGTCAACACACATATGGACCCGTGTCAACGCACATATAGACACGTGTCAACACACACACATATAGACCCGTGTCAACGCACATATAGACCTGTGTCAACACACATATAGACCCGTGTCAACACACATATAGACCCGTGTCAACACACATATAGACCCGTGTCAACACACACACATGAACCCGTGTTAACACACATAGACCCGTTTCAACACACATATAGACCCGTGTCAACAGACATATAGACCCGTGTCAACGCACATATAGACCCGTGTCAACACACACATATAGACCCGTGTCAACACACATATAGACCCGTGTCAACGCACATATAGACCCGTGTCAACACACACATATAGACCCGTGTCAACACACATATAGACACGTGTCAACACACACACATATAGACACGTGTCAACACACATATAGACCCGTGTCAACACACATATGAACCCGTGTCAACACACATATAGACCCGTGTCAACACACATATAGACCCGTGTCAACACACATATAGACCCGTGTCAACACACATATAGACATGTGTCAACACACATATAGACCCGTGTCAACACACATATAGACCCGTGTCAACGCACATACGAACCCGTGTCAACGCACCACCGCGCTTGTGCCAGGCTAGGTGCACATTTTAATGTCAATCACAGCAGCAATGACCCCTGCGACCACCTTAATATCGTGACCCCCACCATCACAAAACCATCACAAAACTAACCTGCAGCGTTCATTTAAAATGTTCGGCGAAATCTCCGATGCCGATTTAAAAATCACGTTGAGCGAACAGCGTTGCAACCAAGCGCGAGTCTAACGTCGCAACCAACGTTGACGCAACGTTGGGTCCAACGTTGAGTCCAACGTTTCCCCAACATCGTCCCAACGTTAGCCCAACGTTTCCCCAACGTTAGACCAACGTTATCCCAACGTTGCCCCAGTGTTGCCCCAACGTTGCCCAAACGTTAGCCCCAAACGCTACCCCCAGCGTTTGGGGCTAACGTCACCCCAACGTTAGCCCCCAACGCTACCCCAGCAGTCGCCCCAACGTTGAAACTAAATCCCCGCTGGGCTCTGGTGGTGGAGGCGTTCCACCCAGCAGTGGATGGAGCCTGGCTTCTGCTGCTGCTGATGATGATGACGACGAACAATGGCGTAGCCCTCGAATCTCCACCACCCCCCCCACCGCGCAGCCGCTCCCACGTCTCTCCACCCACCCGCCTTTGTCTCTCTCACCTCCTCCTCCTCTCTCTCTCTCACCTCCTCCTCGTCGTCTCGCGGCAAGAGCGGCCTCCGCTACATGACGTCACGCGATCGCTACGTGACGTCACGCAGCGCCCGCCCGCCTGCTGCGTGACGTCACGCCAACCAAAATTCCACGCCCACGCAATCCATTTCCATTTTCCATTTATTTGGTATAGCCCTGTGAGCCATTCGGCTCTTGAATCGGGTTGCAACTGCAACAAACAAAAAACAAAAACATGAACAAGAAAACATCTTAAAGTGATTATGTGACTGTGCAAACAGAAAATCCAGGAAAAAAAACATCAAAATATTCCTGAAATAGCACCGTACACCAACGCTGTGTGCAAAAATCCCAGTGGGATGCAAGTCAAACAACAACCACAAGACCACTAAGATTAAGGCCATCAGTCTAACTCCGTACTACAATAAACAAAAACATGGCCAAACCAAAAAAACGTTTTCGAAATCACCAAAATAAAAGCCATAAATGCAATGTAACAGTGATCATAGGGACTGTGACCGATTTTTTTTACAATAAACTACATACATAAATTATAACACCAAAGCCTAGAACCATATTTTAGGCCATTGAATAGCAGTGGCAGCTAGGGATGTACAACTCCTCTAGAGCAGTTTTGAGTGAAGATCTCATAGGTAGTGATTCAAGTTGCAGTTTATTGGCAATAGCATTCCAGACCCTGGGGACATCAATAGCAAAGGCCCTTCCTCCGGTTTTTGTACGGCAATAAGGAATGTGAAGCTGGTAAATGAGCGAAGACCTGAGGTCAAATTTGTTCTTTGAAACAGAGAGGAGATCCAGTAGGTAGTCTGTGGATTTGTTTGTAAGTACATCGTGAATAAATAAGATCTGGTGCACAAGCCGTCGAACATTAAGAGATGTTAAGTTTGACCCAATGTAGAGATCACAGTGGTGAGTCCTATATAGGCAGTTCAATGCAAATCTTAAGGCCGAGTGATAAATGGAATCAAGCTTCTTCAGTACAGTACTTGGGGCTGATTTATACACGATGTCACAGTAGTCAAGTAGCGGCAGTATGGTAGCTTTTATCAATTCCAAACGGAACACTGGGGGGAAGCAGTGCTTGTGTCGATACAGAAAACCAATTTTTATTTTTGTCTTGTTACCAATAAAATCAATGTGATCTTCAAAATTAAGTTTTGAATCCAGGATGACCCCAAGATACTTATAGATCTTGACTTGCTCTATTTGATAATTATTCAAGGAATGTAATTGGGGAAAAATAACTTCTTGCATTAGTCCCGGTGAGAAGCATAGCACCTTGGTTTTGGAGGTATTCAGGACTAGTTTAAGAGAAACTAGCTGATAATAAAGTATTAAAGCTTTCGTGACTGCATAAAATTACTCATTGGTTTTTTCGGTAAAGTCACGTATGTAGAAATACAATAAAATTATATTAAAACAAAAAACAATCACGACGTTTCGATCACAACGCAAGCGATCTTCATCAGGTGTCAAGAACAAATCACGGAGGTAAATACAACAAAAAGATGAGAGAGGAGAATTCAACAAACCTGAAAAAACATTATGTGAAGCACATCCAGTCAGGCCAACAACACAGTTAGACACTTCCTGGCGGACCACGAATTTCAGAAGAGTGTTAAATTTCGTGTTCAACCTTTGGATTGCACATACCAGCATAGATAGAATGAAAAATACGAGGTACACGTCAGTAGAAATACATATACAAGTCCACCAAGAAGTAAGGAGGGAGGAAAGACGGACAGGGAAGCAGAGAGAGGGGGGGGGGGGGGATGAACAGAAGCTTAAATAGGAAATACGGTTGGAGGGGGGGAGGGGCCAGAGCGAGAGCGGCAGCTCAAACACGCACATCTTACACATACAAAACGGCAGCTCAAAAAAGGACCACCTCTTGTAAATACAAAACGGCAGCTCAAAAAATGACCACCTCTTGTAAATACAAAACGGCAGCTCAAAAAAGGGCACATCTTACACATAATTACAATGGTAACTTCCCCGTAAAAGTGTGATAATAAAACAATGAGTGAAACTAGCTGATGTTGTAGTTTGTTGAAATCACCCTGGAGCTTAGCAATCACGTCATCTGGAGAGCGGCCAGCAGTAATCAGTATCGTGTCATCTGCAAAAGATTTACC